TTAAACTAAGTTGAAAGTAAGTATTTATAGGTAAAGGAATGAACTCAGGATAGAATGATTTATTTATGTGTAGGTTATCGGTGTTTAGAGGCTTTGGGATTTTTGATGGTGTTTGAGGGTTATGTGTAACGATACTGTACTGGAGGCAGCGGGCTGCCTTAAGGTTTCGTCGGGTGAGTAGTTGTGGGTTAAGGCTTTATCAGTGGTATTCACTTGAAAGTGAATTCGTTACTAGATCAAGTAGAATGTAGGTAAACTAATTGATAACTAAGTTGAGCACGAAGCTCCTAAACTATGAAACTATTCTGACTATATACTGATCGTTTCCCTGAATGCTAGCTATGCTAGCTGGCTAGCAGAGCTATCACGTCACGTGATCTAATATTGGCCTCAGGACACTAATCTTGGGACGATTCTTATCCTGGGATAATATAGCTCCTAGGATAATTGTCCTGGGACAAATATTATCCTAGGATACTTTATCCTGGGACGCATAACGTCCTAGGACACTAGTCCTATGCCTTCATGGTTGCCTAATCGTTTTGTCCTAGGATAATTATTATCCTGGGACACATCTTATCCTAGGACACTTGTCCTAGGATTTCTTATCGATAAGGGAACCGCGGTAAACAACAGCCTAAACCTCCGTACTTGTTTTTATTGTATAATATTAGTCGTGGTTCGTGACAGAGAACTTCGCACTTCCGTAGAACTAAGATAATGGGTGATTCATATAAGAGGCCAATATAGCCTCAGTTCTGCCCTATCAGCTTCCCACTATTCCCTGTGTAAGGTCATTCCTTTTCACATATTTTTATATTTTTATATTTTTATTTTATAGGTATCTTTTCACAGAATGAATGAATGAGTAGATGAAAAAATGAAAAGATGAATAAATAAAATAAATTCAAGACAAAAATTTTATTCTTCCAAAAGTAAATCCTCGTACTCCATTACTGATCCAACATTCTTCGTTTTCGGTTAGGGAGGTGATGGGGATGGTGGTTTGGGTGCTGATGCTGGCGTGGGGTTAGAGTGTTTAGGTACTTTTATTTGGTTGGTTTTGTGGTTGGGATGGGGATGGGATGGGATGGGGGATGAGATTTAAAAAGAGGGTGGATGAGTGATACTTTAGGAATGGATGTAGTGAGAATGTGATGTAGATGTATATCAATAGTTTAATAGGAAGGAAAAGAAAAAAATACTCACCCCTTCTCTAATGCCCACCGTCTCGTCGTACCAATCTGACCACCACATTCCTCAGAAGGCGTTACCCATTTTCTATCGCGATAAAAGAAAGGTGTTGTGAGGGATCCTTCCATTATTTGTCCATTGGACGATACAAGGAGGACTTCTTTTGGTTCGGTAAATGTGTGGATTTCGGCGCGTGATCGAGCGGTGTCGTACATATTACGAGAGGTCGTTTTGAAGCCTGTATATGGGGAGGGGGTGGTGAGGGATGGGTCCGGGATGATGGTGTATGGAGATGAGGAGTTGAAGGATTTGAGGGGTTCACTGGGGAGGAAGTCGGTGGTGCCGAGGGTTAGGGCGCCGCCTGTTAGGGGGGATATGGATACTTGGGGTGTTGGATGGGAGGAGGTGGTGGAAGGTGGTGGAAGGCGGGTTGGAAAGAGGTTAGATAGTGAGACTGCGGGGACGGGATTAGATTCCACGGTTAGATTTCCCTTGTGATCGAGAACGATTCGTACTCGTAAGGGGGCGGGGGAGCTGGTATCGATAATTTTTGGAGAGGGTGGTGAGAAGGTTTTGGAATCCCTCCGGAACCGGATATAGCGTTTATAGCGATAGGCCAGGAAAAATGGGTAGCGGCTTGTTGGAGTCGGTCGCGATGGTAAGGGAGCATGTAGAAGGGGCATGGGGCGGGGGATGGAAGAGGCCAGGATTCAATGTTGAGGGGTGATTGGAGGAGGATGGGATCGTAACGGAGAGAGGTGAAGAGTTGGAAGGTTGGTTCTGGTTCTGGTTCTTTTGAGGAGGACATGTTGAAGGGAAGAAGACGGAAGAGCGAATTGGAGCAGAGCTGGGGATTTATTAGATTTGATTTGTACTTTTCATTTCATGAGATCAATCAAAAGTAGAGCTGAAATAGATATATTGGGTGATATAAAGATCTTGAAACTTCAAGGTTCATATGTAATTCTGAGTCATAACTTAAGTCGAAGTCGAAACGCGGGGTTTCCCGACAGATTATTCTACATCCATTGAACAAACACTAGATGTTCAATTAAATGAGTAAAAATTGTGCTCTTCTCAAGATTATAGTTTTCTTAGGCTAACTACTAACCACTACGCTCGTAGGGCTAAATATGCATGAGCTTGCAGGACAGATTCTTCCCCGAATTCAGCTTGCTTTGTTTAGATGTGTACTATGTACTTTTGAAAGCTAGGACTGAGATATGGCACGATAATATCAAAGAGATATACTTACAATATATTTATATGTGATTAATTTATCGAAACTAGTAATTGGAGCTCCTCGATAAGTTCTGAGATAAAGCTGGGAACTTAGAGGTGGGCAATGGAAGTCGTATATATATCACGTGCGTGGAGATATTTCGCGGGATTTCTTCGGATATTTCTTAGTTCCTTCTCTTCGTCCATTTTGAGGTTCTACGTAAACATTTTCCGAGGTCATCTTCATTATTCATCGTACTAATGTTAGAATCTATCATCTCGAGTATCATAATCATGATCAGTCTTATGTAGTTTAATTGGCAGGATGATATGAATTTCGCTGACAAGAGTTATATTGAACAACGGAGGACGCCGAATCTGACAGATCAGATAGTATCTGATTTGTATCGTACCGCAATTCGTTTTATTTTGAGAATGTGGAGTGTAGCAGATTTCACCAAGACTCTTCATGAATTACTTGGTCTTTTCAATTGTTTATATCGTGAGCTATGCCACAGCGAGATTGCTTCAGGCTCAGGGTCACTCCAATAGATGCCAGATGGTCGCACTTCGTGGTTGGTGAAATTTAGTGGCTATGGTATTTGAATTTCCCTTTTGCATTTATTGATTCTAGAGGGGACCGTTGTGGGAGATTTGTATTCTTGACATTAGTCTCACCAAAAGTGTCCATATTCAATCCCAGGGCTCTTGATCCTAGTTTAACTGAGGCCAGGGGAAAGACATCATAGGAATCCATCTAATAACTCTGGATTTTCCTAATGCCATTATTAATGTAGACCTTAACACATACCCCTTCCCATTCAGACTTCTCATAAATACAGTCGAATAATGGAGGTTTCATGAAACTATTTGGCACACTTTACCCATCTCAAATTATTGAACACACCCCATTCATTAAACCACATCGAAAAGAAAAATGCAATCTATTCAACTTTAGCTAGCTTCCGGTATGAGATGGAAGAAAGTGAGTAATATTAGATTCTGTCTAATATTTTCGAATTGTAGCTAATCTTCCACACGTATGTATCCGAAAGACTTTTATTTTATTATCCTACCATGACATAAATCTTCTGCGAAACTTCCAGATGATAAAGCCTCAATAGAGACTTGGACTCCCAATAGGTAGTTTATGGCAAATTGATGAGTCACTATCTCACGTCATGTACGTGAGGAATTTCGACCATTAGTATAATGTAATGGCTTTGAATATGTGGTCTACCTCAAAGACAATTTCGCAGCTAGCAACAATGTACAAAACCGGAACGACAATCGATCTATTCGGACCTAGAACGAAGCATTAGGTTGTGTCTTTGCATTCATGGATACTTGATCTGATGGCGCAACTCCTCCTTGCTCAAATCATACAGTCAGATCTACTACGGCTTGCGAGACTTATTTTAGGGAAAACCAGGTGGTCGTAGAAATTCAGGTAAATGTTACCAAACATGCTCTTCTCTTGTGGCGTTTGATTAGTCTTGTCTTCGTGCAAGCTATATGCTTTATTTTAAGGGCATTTATAGCGAAGAAGGTGGTGGTCATGATTCAAGGATGGAAGTGTACTTATACTGCAGATATGCAAGCGGCTATGAATTCGCTGGGTGGCCAAGGCATGTTGCTTGGAGGCGGCAGATCTGCGATGTTTAGGGTAATGTGATGTTGTGATATAAAGCTGTCCAGGGTGGAAAGGAGCGATTTGTCTCGGGATTGGTATTTAGTGTTGTTTAAAAGCTTTGAGTGTGACTTGAGTCGGAGGCATATGATAGAAACAAGGAATATTTGTAATAAAAAGAATAGCTGATAAGATTCCGAGAAAGAAACTATGTCATATAGTCAGAGCTGTAGCCCCTATTTCGAAGCTTTTAATTCTTCTGGTAAATCTATTGCTCCCAATGCATGTAATGCTTGATATCTACGGCTTCAAACGTCCCAAAAGATTCAATGTTTGAATCGGAATACAAAATATAGAAGATATTCAGGTATCAAAGCACTCTCATGTTCAACTGAAGTTTGGATTAATGGCCACTCGGTGCTGGTGGCTGTGAAATGGTATTGTTTTTAATGTTTATTCGGATGGAATACTTGAGGTTGGTTTGACATTTATGGGATAACGAGAATCAAGATATTCTTATGTAGATACTGGACATCTCACCGATGGATATCAAGTCTTATTGATGAAGATATAAATTTCTATCCCTCGGGCGCGTACAGCATTAAACATAGCTTTTGTGGAATGAGCACTGTTATCCTTTTATACATCCTCGAATCCGCACGGAATAGTGTCCAGACACAAATGTGACTATAAATGTTTTATAGCTTATAAGCGTCCTTTACTAATATTAGTGCAAATATATAGTGCAAATATATAGTTCGGTGTTGGAAAATGAGTTGTGTTGTCACATTTACCCCTCCCCAAAGGCGGCGGGGATATTATAGCATTTCCAAGCGACGATTCGTCTGAGTCCACAATGACGAAAGAACGCCGCTTTAGCCGCATCGCGCTAATGATGACCAATGCCAAAGCTTCTCTTGACGATTAAACTGGTATCACCAAGATTTTTTGAGCTGTTGATTAATCCACCTTCAATTTGAACATCAAGATTGTCAACACCACCTATCAGCTATACCACTCCTCATCATCTTCCTCAATATCCTATTTTATTTTCTCTAATTACCACTTTTTCTTTTTCTTAAATGTCTGTACCAAATACAATGCCTCCGGGCAAACCCATGCCAAACTTTGCGGCATCGACATCACAATCGTCAGTTTGGGATCGCATAACAGCATGGGCTTCCGAGAATAAAGCAGTTGTATATACAATCGCTGGTGTGGCAGTAGTAGTCTCAGGTGCTGGAGTTGCATACTACCTATTAGACTCGGTAAGTCGCATTTAGCCACTTGTTTGCTAATCGTCCCATCATTACAGGTACTAATATCTTATTACAGAAGGATTCCACGTCTACCCAAAGCGTATCAAAGAAATCAAAGGAGAAGAGGAGACGGAAGAAGGATGAGAAGAAAGAAGTCGATGTAGAGAAGGGAACCACAACACCAGATACAAAACCTAAAGCAGCTGCAGAGACTTTGGATGAGCTTCCTGAAGTTGACGAAACCACCGTTGGGAATTTATCGGAGCAACAACGAAAAGAATATGCCGCGAAGTTGAAAGCAGCCGGTAACACTGCATATGGGTCCAAGGATTACCCTCGAGCTATCGACCTTTACGGTAAAGCCATCCTTTGCAAGCCAGATCCTATCTTCTATTCAAACCGTGCTGCATGTTACAATGCCCTTGGCGAATTCGACAAAGTTATTGAGGATACCACTGCTGCGATCAATCTCGATAGCGAATATGTAAAAGCCTTAAACCGTAGAGCAAATGCATATGAACATACCGAGAAATATAGCGAGGCTTTACTCGATTTCACTGCCAGCTGTATAATCGATGGGTTCCGAAATGAACAAAGCGCACAGTCTGTCGAAAGATTACTCAAGAAGGTTGCGGAGTCCAAGGCAAAGGTCATTCTCGAGGCCAAGGATAAGAAGCTTCCAAGTCCAACATTTGTCACCAACTACCTACAAAGTTTCCGATCAAAACCCGCCCCCCCAGGATTAGAAGATAGTGTTGAAATATCGGAGGAAACAGGAAAGGGTCAATTACAACTCGGACTTCGAGCTATGGCAAAGAAGACTAATGAGGGATATGAAGATGCTTCAGCTGCATTTGAGAAAGCCTTGGATTTGGGAGACCTTGGTGAACATGAAGCCTTTGCGTACAACATGCGCGGAACATTCAGATATCTTCGTGGAGTACAATTGGACGCCTTGAGTGATTTGAGCAAGAGTATTGAACTGGAGCCCGATTATACACAAAGTTATATCAAGCGTGCCAGCATGCATTTGGAACTTGGTTGGTTTCCTCACATAATAAGCCCTTGATTACTTTCTAACATGTCTACAGGTGACAAGGACGCCGCTGCCGCAGATTTTGACAAGGCTATGGAACAACATGATGATGACCCTGATATCTACTACCACCGTGCCCAACTCAATTTCATCCTCGGTGAACTCTCACAAGCAGCAAAGGACTACCAAAAGTCTATCGACCTCGACCGGGACTTCATCTTCTCACACATTCAACTTGGTGTTACACAATACAAGATGGGCTCCACCGCATCATCTATGGGAACATTCCGACGCACAATCAAGGCATTTGAAGATGTACCTGATGCATACAACTATTACGGAGAGCTTTTGTTAGATCAACAGAAGTATGATGAAGCCATCTCACAATTCGAAAAGGCCGTTGAATTGGAGAAGCAAACTAAACCATTAGGCATGAGTGTCCTTCCACTCATTAACAAAGCACTTGCTCTTTTCCAATGGAAGCAAGATTTTGGAGAGGCAGAAAAACTTTGCGAAAAGGCTCTTATTAGTACGTTTTCCTTTCCCCTGTCTTCAAATTCTTTATACTAATAATCATCCTCAATAGTTGACCCTGAATGTGATATCGCCGTCGCAACCATGGCACAACTTCTCCTTCAACAAGGTAAGGTTACTGAAGCTCTTAAATACTTTGAGAGAGCAGCAGAATTATCTAGAACAGAAGGAGAAATTGTTAATGCGTTGAGTTATGCTGAGGCTACGAGGACACAATTGGAAGTTCAAGAGAAATATCCACAATTGGCTAGTAGATTAGCAGGTATGAGCGGACTTGGAGCTGGTATGCGTTAATTTTCAAGCATTAATGAGAGGGTCATGTGAAGAGGGGTGAAGTAATGATACATCGATGTGGTTATCACGAATGGATGTGCCCAAGCAGGGGTTGGGATGAAAGACGGCATAAAAGGATTGAGATTGAATGGCATGCATGCATGCGACGAATCCCATGGTTTGATCTCAAGTAAAGAAAGGTAAAAAGAAAGCACAATCAAAAATGTAAAATTATGTCTTTTCCTTCACAAACAACTCGTGGTTACATGGTTCATCACTTGTGGAAATTGGAAATTGGAAATTGGAATTTGGAATTTGGGGGTTCGAGGGATGAGAGACTCAAAGAGGGGTTTGTGGTGGAGGGGGATGGAAGGATGATGGAGGGCGAGTGAGTGTAGAGTCTAGGGTGTAGGGTGTAGGGTGTAGGGTGTAGGGTGTATAGTATAATATGAGGAGTTGATATATGTATGGGTTTTGAAGGATCTGAAGGGTTTGAATGTGGATTTTTGTGAGTGTGATTTTGTGTGTATGTGAATTTTTGAAGGTATGTATGGTGTGTGTTGGATGTTTTGTTGGGGAGTCGGTAAGTTGGTGAGGGGGGTTTTGAGGGGGAATTTGAGGGGAGATGGTAGTTAGGTATCTGTCTATCTAGGGGAGCATTATAAGAATGGTAGGTTGGTGGGTGAGTAGGGAGCGAAATAGATTGAAGTAGAAGGGGTAGAGTGTAGAAGAGGGTGGGGAAGGAGAAGAGAGCAGGAGAGCAGTATAATTCTAAGAGGTCATGAGTTGTTGCCAAACTGTACGTATTATCCAATACAAATCCATGTGAATTTCCAACTTCATCTCTAAAGATTTTCTAATTATAAGATTATTTTGAGATTGCTAACTCATACGTACAGTGTTATGTTTATCGAATGATTTGCTCCAGTCCTGTTCTCGAGTGAAACTCGATCGCTTGAGACTTGGAAATATAGATCTCGAGGCTTGGGAATATAGATCAGTCTGTGTGGGAGTTGGTTGTCTAATTTCACAGTCTCGGCTGCAACTCTTATCACTAACGTATCAAATTGCAATTGCAATTGCAATAATATCGACAACGAGTACTCACTCTAGTTACGGCATCCACATAAACTGATGTAGTCTTCTCATCTCATGCACTTAATACTATATCACTAGGGCGGGGACGGATGGGACTCGATCACGGATGCATCGGTAGGTATTTCGCACATTTAGTCCTATGTCTAGCTGGAATCCAGTTAGCTGTTTGGTCGAATTGTCAAAGCTAGTGGGTTGAGTTGATGAAATACATTGTTTTGACCTACCTGTGGTAAATATGTAGATCATCTGAGCACATACACCCTATTCACATAGGAGAAGACGTGAGTTATATATCCTCGTTATTATACCGTCGTATGTATGGATGACGAGACTTTTCTATCATTTGGTACACAGTCTCACTAGAAATTCAACGTCGAATCAACAACTTCATCATTAACCACTACAAAAAGCCGGCTACCTTGATTCTCACCTTGGGTCTCTGTCCGCACATTAAAGCTCCTGAATTACTTCAGCAAATCTGTTCTCGTGTCAGTTTTCAAAGTAAGTGGGTAACAGACTTTCTTAGCTCATCTATACTCAGATTCCCCAATTTCTTGTCCTCCTTCCGAAAAACTTTCCATCTACCCATTAATCCTCTCGAATCCTCACTTGTCTTGAGGCTTGTTGCCACTGCTCCTTCATCAATGCGTCTAATTCTTTTCTGAGAGCTCTCCATTTTAATACAGACGGTTACGTCAATATTGTCGATAGGCTGACTATTGTGTCTGTTGGCGCCTATGAGAGGTCAGGAGAGTCGTTTATTTCATATTAATTAGTGGTGATTCTGGTCCAACATACATCTACCGTATATGATTGTTGGAAGAGAAAAAGGGCTGTTATATTAGACAATTTGCAGTGTTGTGGTCATGCTCGCCATGAAGATGATACGGCGTATGAATGCATGTGGTACTGTGCGGAACTCCAAAAGGCGAAATGAACAGGGAGAGAATATCTCTTCATAGAGATACTTCATCTTGTTACAGTGCTGATAGGGTGGATAGTGTCACGATTCATTAATTCACGTGACCTCGAGGACCTTTTGGACCTTAGGGTCCTAGAGGTCCTCAAAAGATGATATAGGGTATATAAACATTCATTTAGTCTCGTAGTTAAGGAGCTTCGTGCTCAACTTAGTTATCAATTAGTTTACCTACATTCTACTTGATCTAGTAACGACTTCACTTCCAAGTGAAGACCAGTGATAAAGCCTTAACCCACAACTACCAACCAGACGAAACCTTAGGCAGCCGCTGCCTCTAGTATAGTATCGTTACAGATAGTTGGAGTCGTAATGGGAATAAGCATGTTCTTTGAGGCAAAATCTTTGAGGTTGAGAATTGGCAGTACATTCCTGGGTGATGCTATTACTTTGTTTTTATAGTAGAAGTGTGGTACAGACTCAAAACCACAGATCTTACAGTTTTATAAATTATTGGTAGGATCAGTGGTAAATCAGGGATAGTATGGAAGTAATATAGATGATCTCAGAGAAAGTTTGATTAAATCGAGGGAGCACCACTCACACATCTGCAAGTGGCCGGGCAGAATTTCTATGAGCTCGGAGATCTTCCTTGAAATGACATCTTAGCTTTTTATATACGAGCTTTGAGTCCGGCCCCTCGGTGTCTGAAACATAGGAGGAGCTGCAACTCTTTTTTTTCTGTGGCATCTCAAAATCTGCCTCGCAACTCATTTTCTGAATTATTTTATTATAAAAAAACAGATAATATATAATAAAGAAAAAATTAAAATTTTTATAATAATAATAATAATAATAATAATAATAATAATAATAATAATAATAATAATAATAATAATAATAATAATAATAATAATAATAATAATAATAATAATAATAATATTAAAAGATTGGGTGGAAGAGGCCTCTATATTGACTATATTACTACGTCTGTAGGCATATCAATCTCCTCTTGGTATCCTCGGAGGGGACCAATATGCCTGCTTATGGTTCGTCTAATCTAGCCTGTTTAGGTAACCGTATTACTAATCACGACACGTGATTAGTACCGGTAACTTCTATTCCTTTTAACAAATAATAATAATAATAATAATAATAAATTGAAACTAGAATATATTATAAAATAAAAATTAATAAAATAAAATTGATTTAATTTTTATTAAGAGAATCAACAGTGTGACGGAAATCCCTGCTTTCCTCCCACCCTTATTATATAAGAAACCTCAGGTACATTAACCATGTCCACACATGATACGATTACTCGAGATTAGTATGCGATTTAGGTGACCTGAGGATCAGATCCGGACAAGTACTAGGTATCAATGGTTATCGGTAAAGTAAGATCATTGGAGGAATAAATATGACTTCTTTTTGCCTAGCCATTGCGGCTAGGCCATTCATTTGTGTATATATAGAGTAGCTATCCCCATCTACAGGTGCTCTTCACCTGTAGATTCTAAGTTAAATACAATTGCTGGTCTATAAACACCCTTTTGGTCACAAACAGAATTATTTTTAAGTTATAAAATTTTACAAAAGTTTTATTATATTAAAATATTAAAAAAAACTATAATGGTTTGATTAATTTTAAAACAAATTTAAATATTAATTGATATAAACAAAGAGATTATATTAAAAATATTAAAAGATCAAGATCAAGAGTAAACCCCCGTCAAATCTTCACTTAGCTCCACATCTATCATTAGTCAAATTGCATCTTCAATATATCTTTAAAACGTTAGCTTCACTTCAACAAATCACCCACGAATGATACAGGCCTGCTGGCCCAATGGCAAGGCGCTTGACTACGACTCGCAGGGACCGAACATCCCTGAGGTGCGGTATCAAGAGATTGCAGGTTCGATCCCTGCGTAGGTCAAATTCGACACTTTCAGGACTTTTTTTCTTAATTGTGTCAATTAATAGAGATTGAAATAAGAGAAGAAAATATGATTTTGAAGTTTGAAAGGGTGAGAGGGGTTTTTTAATATTTTATTATCTATTTTATATCCTAAATTCAAACAATTTGTTACGACGGGTAACATATTTCCGTATCACATGACTAATTACAGGATCAAAGCTATCATGTGACCGGCTCCAATCAATCTAGTTAGAGCCTCTAGAGCCAGAACACAAAGGCCTATATAATCAAGATGGATTTCCTTTGTATAGAGCTTCGTGCTCAAGATCAATCA